GGCTATGCTTGTCCGGGCCGCCGAGAGGGTCGGGCTCGAGTGGAAACCTCCACCGCGTCTCGGTCATATCGTTCTGCTCCTGATATCTGCTTCTGAAAAAACTCAACGAGTTCAGCGCGCTCTATAGAAGCTCTCGTGTTGGCAGAACGGCACTACAGCGGTAGTGGGTTTTTTCCCGTGTCGAGTGGGTTGCACACAACAGGCTGCACTATCACCTGTTTGTGTTGCAGGCGGTCATCTCCCCTGTGCGCTGCAGCGCATTAAAAGGGCAAACGCATTCACGGGTGAATGTCTTTTTAAAGACACGTCTTTTTAAAGATGCCTTTCACCCGTGCGTTTCTGGATGCGGTCGTTACCTGGTGCCAGGTGATGGTCACGATCGCTACCTCACATGCCTGACCGTTAAGCACACTGAGGTGGCCTTTGTGGCGGAGTTGCGGACCAGACTCCGTTTCCTGCAAAGGGGCGGGGTGCCCGTGCCTCTGCCTAGATCTAGGGTAGATGTCTGCGCGGGACTGATTTTTTTTAGTCCCTCTCCTGCAAGGTTATGTTCCGCTCCCACCCGCTCCCACTATATATTCACTCTTTGTTCGCCCGCTGTCCGCTTAGAATCATTTTCAACCCGACCCGACCGTTCCCGCTAAATTTAGATCTCATTTCCAGAATCTCACATTTAAATTTCCGCTACTGAAAGAAAGCGAGATGGGCTAACAAATAAAAGTGTAGTCTGCACAAAATTGTATATAATTCGTCTTGACAAGAGTCTTGTAGTTATTGACAGCAACTGCTGCCAACACAGTAGGGAAAAAAAGTGTCACAGAGAAAATTTAAATGTTGTAAAAAAAAATTTATTTCTTATTTTTATTTGTCTTGTCAGGATATAATTCGTTTAACATTTAAAACAATAGGAAAAAGTGTCACGGAGAAAAATAAATACAAATGTAGGTTGTACAGAAACAGCCTAGCTATTTTTATTCGTCTTGTCAAAATACAAAATTTGTTTAACATTTTGCTGTACACAGTAGGAAAAGTGTTGCAGAGAAAAATAAATAAATAAATAGGCTACGACATCTGTCATTTAAAATGATAGGCTAAGCAAAATATAAACAAAACCGAGTTGAACGTACTTCAGGGACAGCGCAGCCACACTTTGCTCCAACCTTATTCTGCTCTGTCACTCATCGACAACCTGCCTGTTCTGTCTGAGGACCGTATTTACCACCGGTAGGCTACACCGTGCTCTGAGCATCGTTATTCACATGCTGCGCACAGACCTCGCAAAAAAAAACAGTCCAGCGCAGACCTCTACCCTAGATCTGCATTCTTCAGGTCGATCGCTGCAAACCAATCTCAGTGACGGACGCACCCGAAGATGCGCTTCTGCGTGAGCATCTTGAACGGAAGCTTGTGAAGGGCCCGGTTCAAGACGTGCAGATCCAAGATTGGTCTTAACCCACCACCTTTCTTGGGTACAATGAAGTAAGGGCTGTAAAACCCCAACCTCATATCGGCTGGAGGGACCGGCTCTATCACATCTTTCGCCAGTAGGACTGCGATCTCTGCACGCAAGACAGGGGCATCTGCCACCTTCACTGAAGTGAAGTGGATGCCCCTGAACTTGGGAGGACACCGGGCGAACTGAATCTTATAGCCGAGTCTGATGGTGTGAAGGAGCCAACTAGACGGACTGCGGAGCGCTAGCCAAGCTCCCAGATACCTTACAAGTGGCACCAAAGGAACCACCAACGTACTCGCGGTGGGGCAGCGAGGGGGAACGCAGGGACCCGACACGGGCGTCTCGCTGCCGGTCCGAAGCGAGCCTCTATCCTCTAGAGTCAGAAGCATCTGAGGTCGCTTCGTTCCATTCACATTCCAGGCTTGCACAACTGGCAGCGATGAGCTGTCACGAGCTGCGCTTCCCGGGGAATGGAGACTCCATCCCCAGATGGTCCAGCTGATTTGGAGACGTTTCGGAGCCTACTAAGGATCTACTGACTAAGGGATGTGGCACCCGCGTCCAGACCTCTGGAAACTTCATGTCTGGTCCCTGGACAGGACGTGGAGGTTCTAGGTGACCTACCCCAGGAGGTAGTTGACACAATCACTTCGGCAAGAGCACCGTTATGAGACACGCTTACGCCTTGAAGTGGAACCTGTTCTTCGAGTGGTGTTCTTCTCATCGAGAGGACCCCCGGAAATGCCCGATCAGAGTCGTGCTGTCCTTTCTGCAGCAAATGTTGGAGCAAAGGCTGTCTCCCTCCACCCTTAAAGTCTACGTGGCTGCGATTGCTGCCAACCACAACCCCGTGGAAGGGAAGTTGGTGGGGAAGCTCCACGGCCCCCCTCTATACCCTCTTGGGACCTGTCTCTAGTGCTCCGAGCACTACAGCATGGCCCATTCGAGCCTTTGCAGACAGTTGAGCTAAAGTTTTTATCAATGAAGACTCTGCTCCTGCTTGCACTGGCCTCCATCAAGAGGGTAGGGGACCTGCATGACTCCCAGAAAATCATGAGGCCCCGGCCTGGCTATGTGCCCAAGGTTCCCACTACTCCCTTCGGGGATCAGGTGGTGAGCCTGCAAGCGCTGCCACCGGAGGAGGTAGACCCAGCCTAGTTTTCCTTTGTCCCGTCCATGCTTTGAGATGTTACGTAAACCGGACACAAAGCTTCAGGACCTCAGACCAGCTCTTTGTCTGCCACGTAGGCCAGCAGAAGGGGAATGCTGTCTCTAAGCTGAGGATGGCCCACTGGATAGTGGATGCCATCACCCTGGCTTATCAGGCACAGGGTGTGCCCTGCCTGTTCAGGTTGTGAGCTCACTCTACTAGAAATGTTGCATCCCCCTGGGCGCTGGCTCGTGGCGCCTCACTGGCAGATATCTGTAGAGCTGCGGGCTGGGCGACCCCCAACACGTTCGCTAGCTTCTATAGCCTTTGTGTGGAGACGGTATCCTCCTGTGTTCTCACCTCAAACGGGTAGAAGCACTGAGAGGCCCTGGTTAGTGTCGGCTTGCTAAAACTGCTCCAGAGTGTCCGTACTGTAGACCCTGTCGAGCTCCTCCATCCCCTCGGCAGCCAGACGTGGCGGAACGTCCGGCGCCAGGCTCTCACTTGATCCGTGAGAAGCGATAGAGGGCTGGGTTCCATATGTAGAGACCTAAGTGGATCCCATATGTGTAAAGTCCACAGTATAGCCTCAGAGCCCGTGTTTCCCCGGCAGACTTCTGCCATTTCTAAGAGTGTTATAATCACCTCTAATCTTCCATATGCGCCTAAACGGTCGTTTATATGTGTAAGTGCTTCCTAAACCTCCTTCGGGAAGGATGGGGCTTCCGCAACGTTCCTGTTCCAAGTAGAATGGGTACGTTTTCCCAGTGTTATCCAATCTCACTGAGTGGCTACGACAACAGTGACTGGCCTTCTTGTTGCGAGCCCTGGCCTACACCAACACCAAAAAGGGGCGCAGGCGGCTCGCACAGGACACTGGAAGGGGCAGCATCCATGGCGCTTTGGTAGGGATCACAATTTGTCTGTCACCGACGTGACGTCGAGAGTGACCTACTGAAAGGTAACGTCTCGGTTACATATGTAACCCTCGTTCCCTGAAGGAGGAAATGGAGACATCATGTCCCGTCGCCACGGCTGGTGTACCACCGTTGAGTGGCCGGGTCACCGGCTCGGCTCCTCAGCGAAAACCTGGTATGCGTTGCACCAGCTGCCTTTTTATGCTCGCGCTGTGATCAGCAGCAGCTGGATGCAATCATCGCATGCCAATGTGCATTGGCTCGTTTAGTTTACACTCGAAGTAGATTGGTTTCTCTAAGCGAGATCCCAATTCGTCGGTCACCGACGTGACGTCTCCATTCCCTCCTAACCGAGACGAACTGAACATTATAAACCAATTAGAAACCATATGTTCTGAACATTATAAAGCTGTTCCTATGTTTAAATTTAAATTGTGTGTGGAATATAGCTAGGTAAGACTTTAGTATAGGGACCAATTCTCACTATTAAGTTGCTTATTAGCATGCCTATTATTAACAATATTGGCTGTTTATTAGTAGGTCTACTTATAAAACCACATATTCGGTGGTTACCAATACCTAAACTTAACAACTACCTTACTAACTATTAATGGGCAGCAAATTTGGAGTTTATTGAGGCAAATGTCGTAGTTAATGGTTTGGTGAGAATTGGACCTTAAAATAAAGTGTGACCAAAGCGGAAGTTCAGAACACTCTTATGGCAGTTTGTAACAATTTTACATTTTGGCGAATTGGAGGTGAATTGATAATATGAAATCATTGAATTTCATTTTGTATGTTTTGTGTAATCTGCTTTATAAGCCAAGTTTGACTGACTGTGGACCTTCATGCTTTGTTTTTCTAATGAAAATTAATAAATAAAAAAAATAAATGCACATTTTTGTACAAATCAAATCATACAAATTCACATCAAATTGACAAAAAATATTCTAATGAGATCAGGTTGAATAGTAAAAATTGGATGTTGGACTGACTTTCTTCTGCGTAAATTCAGATGTTTCCTACTTCTCAGGTGTTTTTCCCTAGCAAAAATACACCAGTATAATCCCACAACTCTGCAACCAAAAGAGATGTGAAGTAATTTCTTAAATTTGTCCCAGATCAGATTTTCTAAGCTGTACTTGCATTAATTTAATAGCTATTTTAATAACTATTCAGCAAAAACATTGAACTCTGCTCCTCTTAAATTCCTTATAATCAGATTTTACTCGCATTTTTACATATTCAGTATTCATTGTGTCATGATCAGTTATAACACACATGAAAACCAGTGGCATCAAACCTGGTCTACCAAAACTGAATATGAACACCTGAGATATGGCTATGTCAGTGATGTTTGAGAAAGATATTTCTACAGCAGAAAGAAAGTCATACAGGGACAGAATAACATGAGGGTGAGTAAATGATGACAGAATAGGAACAACATTCCTGCTTGATTGACAATGATGTTCTGCAGGTGGACCTTTGGAAGCCCAACAGTGCATATATGATTCAAGAGAACAGCCAAGTAGACGTTCATGTGGGACGGAACAAGACGCAATGGCTAAGAAGACGTCTTCGCCAAGCGCACATCCACTATGAGTGAGTCACCTTTTCCTCCCTTGGGACTTATATTAGAGTGAACTTCTCTCTTGTACTCCTGCGGGTGAAACATCGGTTTCTGGGGGACACACATTTGAGTTCTACTCTGATTCTTCAGACTTTGATTTGCGTGTGTCGAAGGATACAGAAATGAAAGCTCGATTCAGAGTAGTCTTTCAGCCGCTCGCTCCATCAATCATCCAGATCAGCAGCAACAATGAAGCTTATCTCACGCGCCGCAGCCAGAAGCACTTTCATTGTCATCCCTTTCCCCAAGGAGGCCTTTTCTTCTATACCTCCTCTCCTTCTCATGGCTGATGTATTTGAGCATATTTACACGCAGAAGTGATACCTCAGAGGATTCTGGGTAATGGGACAGGTTGCGAAAGAGAAATGTATGCGTCTAGTGCTTTGTTTACTCTAGTTTAGTTTAAAAACCTCCTCCTTTGCTTGTTTTGGTTTTGACAGGACAGATAGATAAATTGTAGCATTTTCATTCCTTCCTCCATATCCTTAGCCAAAAAAATAAATAAATAACATGTTGGTGATATTGAGTCTACCTAACTTTAATAAGGAAGAAGAAAACACTTTAATTTTTCTCATTGTTATTTGTGTAAAAATTCTAATTCTAATAAAAAATAAATAAATAAAAATGAATAAATAACTTCATGATCATGACCCTGGTGCAAAGCACTTTGCATCAAAATGCTGGGTTAAATGTTTAACCCAACCTTCTGGGTAGTTTTATTTAACTCAACTGTTGTTTAAAAATTACTATATCGCTGGCTTAAAATGAACCCAAAATAGGTTGTAAAATCAGACACATAATTACTAGAGGCATCAGCAATAATCAAAAGGTGAACATTTATTAATAAGAATTTAAAAAAATACATTCTTTCATTATTATTCATTCAACTTATTAATACAAATTAATTTATTGAACATATAATACATGTTCATTTCCAACCTATTTTGGGTTCATTTTAAGCAATAAATATAGTCATTTTTAAGCAATAGTTGAGTTAAATAAAACTAACAAGAGGTTTGGGTTAAACAATTAACTCAACCGCTGGGTCAAAACAACCCAGTCGCTGGGTTTGTCCATATTTCGCCCAGCACTGGGGTTTTTTTAACGCAGCATTTTTTAGAGTGTACTTTCCAAATAAACTGCATTAATGAAGTGAAAATAAATAAGTACAGTAAATATGCTACATAATAAACTATAGTACAAATTTACTAAATATACAAACAGAATATTAAAATATTTTTTCTGTAGCTCTGGTGTCATGCAGAAATTGCTGAATGTCTATAAGCATCCGAGTAACCCTGAAAATTGCCATTAAACCGTTAGATACACAGTGCATGTGCTTTCAACATTCCTTCCCTGACTGTCTCCACAGGGTGCTCATTTCCAATCTCCAAACCGAAATTGAGAAACAGATCGGACACCAAACCTCCAGGAAGCGCAGATCAGAATTCCAGTATGACTATGAAGTGTACCATCCTTTGGAAGATGTGAGTGCGTGGATGAAAATTCATATGCATGGTAATTTTTATGTAGAGAGATGAAGAAGACCGAGATCAAATAGATTTTTTTTTTCTGTCTGCCATCTTTCTCAACAGAAGCTTGACTTTCGCAGGCTAACTAACAGCTTTTGATTGAGAAGTGCGTTTGTATTCAGTTGTGGCCCGTGAGCAAGAAAAACAGATTTTGGGAGGTTTTCTTCGGTGCCGTCCTAACCCATCATTAAACCTTTACTCACAGGTCTTCTCCCTCAGACCGAGTGCCAACTTTAAAAGAACACGCTGATACAACTTCAGCTCTGTGATTTAGTCCCATGACAAGATGATGAATGGGAAAACCTTCAGAGTAGACGAGGGCTGGATTACATTGTTTTATGGATATAAATCCTCTAGTACTCTTATAAAAAAAACATCTGTAAAGAATGCATCCGTTAATATTTCAAATCTTGAGCTTAGCTTTAACATATTAAAATAATCAAGTCAAGACAAGACAAACATTTCTCTACAAGAAAAACTTCCGATGCTACAGGTTTTGTGTGTATATACAGTTGTGGTCAAAAGTAGGACAGACCTGCAAAATTAAATGTGTATAAATGTGTACAAAGTTTTGAATTAATACAAGCTGCATGTTAATCTGGAGAATATGGGTCAAAATCTTTTCACCCTTATCGACAGATCCAGAGTTGGATGTTTGAGATGAACCGGACACACCCACACCTGGTGGAGCTGTTTTCTATTGGTCAGTCCTATGAAGGACGGCCCCTCTATGTGCTCCAGGTAAAGACTGATGGGAAAGATGGCTAAATTTATAAGCACTCTGTAAAACACGCGCACACACACACACACACACACACACACACATATATATGGACTTACCAAACAGTGTTCTCTGCCCCTCTCCTGTCAGTTAGGAAAGAGAACACGTCCCTTTAAGAAGGCAGTGTGGATAGACTGTGGAGTGCATGCAAGAGAATGGATTGGTCCAGCTTTCTGCCAATGGTTTGTGAAAGAGGTGTGTACTGTGTTATTCCTTCTGTTTGTCATTGTTCACGTCATGCTGATATTTAAATCACTGCAAAGCAAAAACAACAAAATGTTTATGCAGCATATGGTGGAATCCGAAAGACTGAGACCACTATTGAAAATGTTTGAATATATTTGAATATATCATAATTAGTGCTGTCAAACGATTAATCGCGATTAATCGCATCCAAAATCAAAGTTTTTGTTGACGTAATATATGTATGTGTACTGTGTATATTTATTATGTATATATAAATACACACACATGCATGTATATATTTAAGAAAAATTTTGTTTATATATGAAATATATTCATATATAATATAAATTATATGAATATAAATATATACATGTATTAATTATATGTAAATATTTTTAAAATATATACTGTATGTGTGTGTATTTATATATACATAATAAATATACACAGTGCACACACATATATTATGTAAACAACATTTTTTTATTTTGGATGCGATTAATCGTGGTTAATCGTTTGACAGCACTAAAAAAAAGTTTGTGTGTAAATGTGTGTCGGTTTTTTCCAGGTTTATATTTGATTTTGAATCCCAAATTTTGAATGTGGTGTAAGAATCAGATCATTCTTACACCCAGGCGAAAAAAAGTGCACTTCTATAATTGACTTTAAGTGCTCTATTTTTCACGCACTAATTTTGTACTTAATATACAAAAAATTATTCTTTAGTACTTCTTAAAGGGGTCATATGATGCTGCTAAAAATAACATTATTTGGTGTAAAGAAATGCGTTTATGCGGTTTAAGGTTAAAAAAACACATTATTTTCCACATACTGTACATTATTGTTTCTCTTCTATGCTCCGGCTTTCTGAAACGCGTCGATTTTTACAAAGCTCATCGGTCTGAAAAGCGAGGTGTGCTCTGATTGGCCAGCTATCCAGTGCGTTGTGATTGGCCGAATACCTCAAGCGTATGACGGAAATGTTACGTCCCTTACCATATTGTGATGATGCCCTGTCAGGCCGGAGCGATGATTCAAAAACATGAAAACCCATGACTGCATTTATGATCGGAGAAATGACAAACAAAATATTTGCTTTAAATATATAAAATATAAAAACTCTTTAAATATAAAAGACGTACTTACAGTTTTTGAGTCAGAACAGCCGACATTGTAGTCTACTCTCCCAGGATCAGGAAACGGTCCTCCATAAAATGTGCTGCACACATCTGAATATTTGGGTTGAACTGTTCTGGAACAGTGTTGTAAATACAACTTAACCACTGATTTCTAGTCGTGTCCATTTTTGGAAGACCAAACAAAGTAGTTTCGCTTTCACAACGAAACACAGCATCAAACACGGCGGGCTTGAGTGAGCAGAGACCGGGGGATAAAGTGAGGAATGGCCGGAGGGCTAGAGTGAGCAGAGGCGGCGGATTCGACGAAGGAGGCTTGCAGCATCCACGTGAGGACCCTGGGCTGGACTACGCTTTGTCCACGGTGACAAGACAAACATTTCTCTACAAGAAAAACTTCCGATGCTACAGGTTTTGTGTGTATATACAGTTGTGGTCAAAAGTAGGACAGACCTGCAAAATTAAATGTGTATAAATGTGTACAAAGTTTTGAATTAATACAAGCTGCATGTTAATCTGGAGAATATGGGTCAAAATCTTTTCACCCTTATCGACAGATCCAGAGTTGGATGTTTGAGATGAACCGGACACACCCACACCTGGTGGAGCTGTTTTCTATTGGTCAGTCCTATGAAGGACGGCCCCTCTATGTGCTCCAGGTAAAGACTGATGGGAAAGATGGCTAAATTTATAAGCACTCTGTAAAACACGCGCACACACACACACACACACACACACACACATATATATGGACTTACCAAACAGTGTTCTCTGCCCCTCTCCTGTCAGTTAGGAAAGAGAACACGTCCCTTTAAGAAGGCAGTGTGGATAGACTGTGGAGTGCATGCAAGAGAATGGATTGGTCCAGCTTTCTGCCAATGGTTTGTGAAAGAGGTGTGTACTGTGTTATTCCTTCTGTTTGTCATTGTTCACGTCATGCTGATATTTAAATCACTGCAAAGCAAAAACAACAAAATGTTTATGCAGCATATGGTGGAATCCGAAAGACTGAGACCACTATTGAAAATGTTTGAATATATTTGAATATATCATAATTAGTGCTGTCAAACGATTAATCGCGATTAATCGCATCCAAAATCAAAGTTTTTGTTGACGTAATATATGTATGTGTACTGTGTATATTTATTATGTATATATAAATACACACACATGCATGTATATATTTAAGAAAAATTTTGTTTATATATGAAATATATTCATATATAATATAAATTATATGAATATAAATATATACATGTATTAATTATATGTAAATATTTTTAAAATATATACTGTATGTGTGTGTATTTATATATACATAATAAATATACACAGT